CGCTGGCGCCTGAGGAGATGCTGAGCGGCAGAGACTGTCTCCCCTCCGCCCCGGGGCTGAGCCACCCACCGCTGCCACTGCCCCCTGGGTACCCCCCGGCCCCTGGTTACCCCACCTTCCTGCCTGAGCAGCTCCCACCCGGCACGCTCCAGTACCAAGGTGAGTCCCCGTGCTTCAGCAGCAGGCGTGCTTTGGCGCTGGCCGCAGCAGCTCTCACTCCTCCCTGTCCGCCTCTAGAGCTGATGCCGCCGGGGAGCTGCCTGCCTGAGGAGACCAAGCCCAAGAGGGGACGCCGGTCATGGCCCAGGAAAAGGACGGCCACACACACCTGTGACTACGCAGGCTGCGGCAAAACCTACACCAAGAGCTCTCATCTCAAAGCGCATCTGAGAACCCACACAGGTCAGTCCCAGAGTGGGGTCAGGGGGATGCCCCGGCCTGAGGGGCATGGGGTCAGCCCCTCCGACAGTGAAAAGGGAGGGGAGCACAGGCGGGGAGGGCTAAATGCGGCAAGTCATAACCCTTCTCTGCTGGGTTTCCAGGCTTTTTCCACCCCCCTTACCCCTACCCCCCCTTGGCAACTTGGAGTCCTGAGCAGTCTTTTGGCTCTTGGCTTGGCACTTTGCTTAATGGTTCAGAATGACTCAGATGTGGGAGCGGGTGGGTTTCTTGCCAAGGCAAAGTTTGTTGCTCCTCTCTTGCTATGTGGCTAGCTAATTAGCAGGTAGCTGGAAGTCAGCTGGGATTTGTTGCTCTAGATGGTGCTGGCCCACTTCTGAGAAGGGAGCAGACTTCTCCCTAATACTGATTTCTTTGCTCATGATTAAATGCTTCACGCACGCACCCCTCTTGTCTTGGCTCTCTCTACAAGAGAGATTGTGCACCTCTGCGAGCTGCTGTTCCCTTTCTGAGGATACCGAGATGGGCCCCTTGCGAGCGGGGCTTTCAGCTGTGTTGGCAGCACTGACGGGGTGCCTCGCCTACGTGTGGGAGCACGTCTTCCCCTGCACTAGCACCAAAGAGGCAGAGAGTTAACAGTCGATTGGCTACTGCGAGAATTCGGATTAAATCTGCCAAGGTGTCTGTCTGAGCCCGAGTTCAAACTCTAGCCTTGCAGTTGAACGTGGTGTTGTGGTAACTGAGCTTGTGAAAGCGGGTACATTGTGCGTGGTTTCACCAGCGCGGGCATTCCGTAAGAGTGATTAAATAACCTGGGAATTTGCATAATTTAAATCCCTAGATTGTGAACTTGATTCAAAACTTTCTCCTGAAGAGGAGAGGGGAAAGGGAGAAACTACTGGTAGCACAGTACTTAGGCTACATCTTCAGCTAATGGCAGCAGCGGGGGAAAAAACAAAAGTTGGTCAGGTGAACAGTC